ACTTGGTAGCGAAGTACAAAAGCCATTACCAGCAAACTCAGCTGCGCTAGCCACTGCCGTCTTCCTGGATGGGGACCCCGAGACGGGCCATATCAGTGGTTAGAGACATTTTCAGACATGGCCCAGTCGCGACCTCTGGCGCTCGTACATCCAAGCCATTGCCTTCAGTGCATAGCTCCCTTTCCAGCCCTCACTTAACAGCCCATTGACAGTGCTGTATTTACGCAGGAATTTATCAGCTCCCGCCTGTAATGCTCAACTACCTATCCCAACTCCCTAACTTATCGGTGAACGAAAATATGGCAGCTACAACCACTGCGCGACATTTACGCGGTTCTTGCAGGTGATAATGATGATGTTGATGACGAGTTGAGTTGTCGTTGTGGCTAGGAGAAATCTATTGCCGGGTCTCCAGTTAGGCCATGGCCGTGTCAGGTTTCCATTGTTTGGATGAGGTTGGCTGGGTTGAGTAGCACTGTGGATATCTTTTCCTCTTGACCGTTAATGCCCCACACAGGACGTTCCGACAGGCGTTGGAGGAAACGTTTCTGATAGTTTCGCTCGACATCTGGGTCCACTTGCTTCTCAGTACCTCAACGGGACGTGCACATTTTGTGCCTTCCTGAAAAGCGCGATGAAAAGCAGCCACACAAGTTCATGGTCTAAACCCAGGCTGGTGTTCCAGCGGGGGTTCCAGGCAGTGCGCGACGATCGCCACCGGTAACTGACGGCGATTCGGTATATTTAGATTCGGGGGTGTTTTGTTGGTGGGCGCCATGTCATTAAGAGATTTCCGCGGCTCCGGAAGTTGGTACTGCAAAGACAGTTTGTAATAGACTTGGGCGAGATGGCCGAAGTGGTTAGAGCGCAAATTTACTGACCGGAAGGTCCGTGGTTCGAATCACCTGTCGAGGCTTGGGAAACGTGGTAGTGTCCCCGCCCTCGTGCTTCCTTCGGGTGTAATGGCAGCTAGGCGCTGGAAGGATGCTATAGCCGAACGCTTTTTTAGACATGCATCTATCCGTGCGTCTCGTATCCAACCCAAGACGACCACCCAATCGGCCCCCAGCAGCGGTTAGTCTCCCCAGCCGAGCGTTCATGTCACCAGCAACTACAACGGTATCTGACCTTTTATTCCGTTGTAAAGAAGCACCTAGAGCACCATAAAATCTGCCTTTGGTGAACTCAGAGCTACAGTCAGTCGGGGCGTAAGCAGACAGAATAAACAGGTAGCGAAGGACCTCGCTTTCGAGATTCTTTCACAGTCAATGCCAAGAAAACCGCACAGAGGCAGCTATCAACGGGTGTCCACTCAATTAGGGATGCTTTCGCTCGTTCGCTCAATACAACACCCGCCCCATCATTTCTAGCTGTATCTTCAGAGGTGTGCAGCCGGAACCTGAAAGAGAGCGAGGGGCATGCAGTTCAATCACAGTACTTGTGTCCTGTATTCTTGTTTCTGACAGATAACATGCACCAATGCAGAAGGAATCCAGAGTACGAGTAAGAGCCACCTGTTGAACCGCTTGATTCAGTGTGCGAACGTTAGAGGCGGCTAAGCAAACAGGCTTTCGGTGTTTGAAGGCAGACGTCAAAGTGTTTAGGGTTGTTATTGAAGTCCGAAATGCACACTGTAGCTGAGTGTGATGCACTGTGGGCAGAACGGTCAGTCCTGGTGCTTGGACCTGCGGAGAGAGTATTCAAATTTGGGCGGGTAGAGTAGGAGAGGGAAAATGTAAAAGCATAAGAAGGGAGGCGTCAGCAGTAGCATGTTTTCGCTTATCTCCCCTGTTGTGTGCGGCGAGTAAGGCGACCAGACTGATGCCGGCCGATGTGGCATGAAAGTATTGATAGTTGTAGGTATCATGACTGTAAGTGGGCTCGGATACTTCCGGGCGTCCAGACCTACAATGGAGAATAATTAGAATCCTCGACCAAAGCCCTTGGCTCAAGATCCTGACCACAAAGCAGCGGTGTTTGAGGGAGAACGCAATCGCATCACTATTTTTTATAGAAAAATTCACTACACATGTTCTAACTCCCACCCTGGCAGGCCAGGAGACTTACACAGACCTCTAACTATCGACCAACCTGATGTGAGAGACTGCGAGCATCGCACGAATTTCAACCTGGCAGAATGCCCAATAACCATAAATCAACATTGCGCCAAAAGCCTGAACAACGCCACGCATACCGCCAACGAGTAGTCACGATTTCTGTTGACTATGTGGATATATTGGCTTGTCCAGTTATTACTTACCATAGGGGATGCCCTTGAGGTTCATAAGCACCCCTTGTGCTATGTATTTCAATATCTCCTGTCAGCCTACACAATGGTATGTTCAAAGGCCTCACAACTAATGCAGCTCGTCAGTTTTGTCATCGGCTTTATTATGGAGTGCGCACTCCGAAGGACGATTGACATCGAAATCACGTCGGAGAGAGACTAATAGATTCGAATTATGCTGACGAAATCGTTTTACAGTTTGGCGACTATTCACCCTCGCAAATGCTCTGCGCAGGCTACTGGAGGTGGTAACAACTTCGGAAGCGCGTTTTGCCCCTTCGCAGTGCGTAGTCTTACTTAGGAATTTCCTCTCCTTTTGTGCTTCTAAAACTGCAGGATAATGAACTTGAGTTTGTTAATCTAGCTACTTTTTTAGCAACTGAATAAGGTTTGATTGGACTGTAACAAAGATCAATGCACGGATAATCAAGGCGAAAGGAGCGTTTCTTCGGTTTTTATCATTTGTGCCACAAGACACGAATTTCGCTGAAGCTAATGGGCCGTGTGTACGTTGGACCTGACGGTGGTATGAAAGACGAGGTCAACGCACGAATCTTAAAATTCGGAATTGCATGTTACTGAGTTTCAAAAACCGAGCGGGGGGAATTCATGTACGGCTGCGAAAAATGCCGATTTCCTGACAATCTGAGGCTTCTTCAGGCCGAACACCGATGCCGCAGAACTTTAACTAGATTCGGCTCAAACCATGGAATTTGGAATGAACTGGTCGCGGTTCTGGTGAAGCAGAAGCTACTTCACCACAGAAGTACATCCAGTAGTACAAGCTAAGATGACTGGGTCATATTGCGCATGTCGAGTAGCCGTCTTTCCGAGAAGAGCTTTGTTTTCTGTACCTGGTTCGGATTGACAGGAACCTAGTTGTAGACCAAATATGACATGGAAGAGTGAAATGAAGAATGGTACGATAAGTCTGGTGCTGTTTTTCTTCTAGGATGAGGTCCTTGTAACAATCCCTATACTTGGCTGTAAGCACTGAAGGGTGTGGAGACGCACCGATATCAGTGGCATTCATGCCAACTTCTTTCTAAATTGTTTCACTGACTGGAAATGTAGAGACCTCGGATGTTTGTCGTAGGCTAACCCTAGGTCCTCTTTTTTATCCTTGATTAGGCCGGATGAAGTTCGCGAAGGACTTCGAGTCAGTCACACTGACATTGCCTTAATCCGACATGGCGCTCAGGTGTATTTATTTTAACAGTGTTTAAGGGTGCACATACCTAATTCTTGATTGTTTCCTCTAACGATGTGGGACACTAAATCGTTGCGTTCCCTCTTTTTCGGACCCTTTACATCCTTCCATGATTGTATTAAGCGCCAGCTTTTATGTATTACTGTCAGTGATGGTGATGAACCGCACCAAAGTAGCATAAAGTATGGGCTTTGACAAAGGGCGTTCTTTGCTCTAATGCCGCTCGATTTCATAATGGCGCATACATTGGTGGATAACGGAGTGCGACTAAACCGTAGATAAAAATCAAACACAGACTACACCAATGACGTTGTCTTGTGAGACGGCGGCTTCGACAGTTCTGAGGCACCGTAAAAGGTCTGAAATAACACTGCGGAAACGAAGGTGTTTCAGACAGCTCAACCGGCGTAGGAAAACCAATTATACTGTGTTACTCTATTTTCGAAACGATAGAAGTCTTAATCCACCTTGTATCTAAGAGAGAAACCGGATTCGAAGTGAGAAATGGAGGGCATTTTCCTTGAAATGGAGGTACTCTGTGACTTGTTGTGGAGATTAGTCCTCAAAAATCCTGTCTACCGAGTTGGTGTTTGCTGTGTCCCATTTTGTGGATTCGACACCTGACCTCTTTGACGCGCAGTGAAGAGTGTGTAATCCACTCTATCTCCTTCACCACTCCGGATAAAGAATCTCTCAGTTTGCCTCCAGTAACGTGTTCGGGTGCATTCTTTGTAGCGCAAAGTGAAGATGGCTGTTCCTCCAACTTCTGGTTTGGATTGGCGCTGACACTCTGGAGGGTACTAAAAATTCTGTGGTGGTCGATTTCGGATTAGAGTGACTACGGGTGGTGTTCATTACAGCTAATTGAAACGTGTTCCATCGTGCCGTTGATCGCCGTGCGTGTAGAGTTCTAACGTGCGTCATGCACCTAGCCTGATTATTCTATCAGAGAAGCCCACCGAATCCAACTTCCAAACCACGTATCTTCAAAGATCCCACCATATAAATCTCTCGATTTATTGCTCTTTAGTTTTTGATCATGTGTTAACGGTTGATTAGTCTTTCAGAAGAAGCCCCCTGCATTGGGTGGTTCTCTACTATTTGTGACTGATCACATTTTTTATACTTATATGGATATGCATTATTCGTATTCAATGTTTGCTTTCCGGGCTGATTCTCTGAAAATCCTGGGTTAGTCGACTATGTAAATGAACTAATCTGATTTTAGGAAAACGAACCTTCGACATTTCTGTGGGTCACTTTCTGCTGACAAATTCAGTCAGTTTCATCTTGTGCGTACCGAGTGTATGTATTTCTGACTTTACATACCCAATCGATCGGTCTTAATTTTTATCATGTTGTTTATCATGTTTTAACCTTTTTCCTCTCTCTTTTAGGCTCTTGTGAGCATCTGATTCCGCAGCTGGAAATAATGTGGTAGAATCAGATCGTCACGACGTTGATATTTATGAGCAGCGCCGTTTATGTTTTACCCATGGCAAAATGCCCAGCAACCTTGAAGAGAACTGTGGTGTTGAGTTTACCGAGTCCGAGAAGAAAGGGAAGAAGAATCGTTACAGTCTGAAAAAATTCTTCATACCAGTCTGTTACGTCTTACTCGCTTCACCAAGTCTATTGACTCAGACGCCGATAAGGATAGTGACCGAGTAATCAGTAGTGAGTTGGTAAGTCACAGCATTTACTGCTTGAAATGGGTGTGAGTTGCCGGATATTCCAATAACATATCATCGAATAGGCAGCATTTTATTTGGTCTTCACTGGTAAAAAATTCCAGCACGTGGGGGTAATATACACGTAACTACTAGCGTGATGTCAGTCGGCATACTATTTGGAGACTTTTGCATTAGAGTGTGCATCCTTCCTCACAGGACACAACTTTTACAGATACAGTTTCTAGGGGACAGTTAGCGACCAAGTCACGAATGCCTGGTAAGCTTTCAATACTTCAACTCACAACTAAGACATGAGAGCTGCAACGCAAACCGACACAACGGTGGGCAGTGCAGCACGCATTTAAATAAAGGGGAATATATTACGCGGTCGTGAAGCCGGGTAAATCATATTCTTCCTTACCGACAAAACGTGAGTATGCACGTTTTCAATTACAACATACATTTGAAGTGTGACTAAGAGTGTTCATATTTCGCGTCCAGTTAGTGTCGTGGCCCTTGTGTAATGATGTGTAAAAGTGCTGTTCGGAAGTACAAAGGACAAGCAAAAAGGAGCCGGAGTTAAAACGATCGAGTCAGGTCAGATCACCCAACGATACAACTTGATGTGGCACAGAGGTAACACAGATGGGTGCACCAAAACGTGAACAGAAATCCAGTTGGTTAACTCAACAGAATGCGGCTTGAGGTCGGACATCAGCAGGCTACTATTCACTAGCATGCGCCCTCCCCTTAAAGGGCATTTGTTCGGGTAAAGGTCGACTGAAACTTGGTGCCGATTCATTACGTTAAGCTGCAAACTTGGTACCGGCTGGGTGGCAAGTTAAGGAATCCAGCAATAAACACACTGTATTTGAGGAATCCACCATGGTGGATTCTTGGCCAGCAACCGGTTCTCCTTTAACATGTCCTATAAACGTAATGACGACACTACGACATTGTGAGCGCAACCACCCCCTTGAATGAAAAAGCGGACACTCCCGGTCATTACTAGGTACCACCAAATCGACGCACGCGCTGTCTGACGATCATCGGATTGCCTGGAATCGTGCTTCCCTTGGTGTCGCACATGGATCTGCTAGTTTTGGAGAAGTGACCTCGACCCCGTGTCCGACGAAGCGGTTCTACTGTCCCGTTCTTGTCGCCTCTCAATTTGCACTTGCGTGTATGAAAACTAGAGATAGATCCTCGAACGAGGGCCGTATGGTACCGAGGGCTTACTGGTAAACAAATTCTTATGTTACTATATGATTATTTCCCAGATACAAAGCAGGTAATGCTCCGGTGCTGACCCCTTTCGTAGTAGCTATTCTCGTATTCCCTCTAGTTCAGGATAGCGCCTCACATAGGATGCTGGATTGCGTTTATTCTGCTTGACTTGGGAAGCCGGAAGCTCACTGTACGAGGTCGTTTCGACCATTAGGTTGACTTTGCTTTCCTTTAAGAGGCAGGAGTTCCTAGTCTCGGTTCACAACGCATCAAAGAACAATGCGCAGAACCATTCCATGTGTATAGTAGCTGCCCAAATGATGACTCAGGTGTAGTTGTTGCCCTCAACAGACATGCCCTCGACGCCTTACCTTTTTTAGAACCAGATGGCACCACCTTTCACTTCTCTGGGAACAAATGATCAGTTGGCGAGCTTTTCCATTTTCAATCGGCTCGTGATATCTATCACTTTATTCAGCAACCGGAGAGTTGTCTGTCTCCCTGGTACCCCGATTTCTGCCACTGTCCTTCTCAAATGGACTTCATCATCTTGGGAGCTTGATGGCAGTCGTCTTCTGAATATTGTAGAGAGGGAGCAGAAGCAGAATATAAATGCTGTTAAAATCATAGCCTTGTACGTGCATGGGTCATACTTAATCTTACCACAAAAAGGATCAAGATCCCACAGAGGGTCTCCAATCCACAGGTGTGATCACTAGCCAAGCTACCACTTCCTCCGATCCAACTCATCTCTGTCAAAAAGTCCGGGCTCCATCTAAAAGCATCCATTCAGACAGCGAGATTGTGGTTCGGTTGATGCCCATCACCCTACTGCATTCTTACTCTTCGATTTGACTGCTTTATGACAAATCCTATTCCCCTTCAGCTTTTTCATTGTGTGAAACTCATGAGGCCTTCGTCTGAAATATCTCGTTAAGTCTTCACCGTCACATCTGCCTGGATAAGTTTCTAGTCTATCAGTAGCCTAGGAATCTTGTTCTCTGGTATCATTGTGTGTGTGTTGTATTGTTTTCGTGATCGATGCTGCAACCGCATATTGTATGCTTGTCCCACTAAGGTTGTCCAGGTAACATGTAATTTGCTTTCCTTTTCGTGAACGGTGGGTATTTTTGCTTCATCTACCTTCATTGTCCACGTGACAGCTATTGAAGTTTGTGAATACCATCTGGGGAATCGGTTATGATGATCGTGGGTGCCGACATGTCATCTGATTCCCGTCGATTTGGGCAAACACCATTTAGTCTACACAAAACTAGTAGTTTATGACCATCTAACGCTGATTCTGGCCATTGTATACTCGTCTCTTCTCACGCTCCTGCTAAACAGTCGCACTGGGACGTCGCCTCACCAACCTATTCCGCCTGCATCCACCATTGTCTAGCATGTTTGGACGTGTAGGAGCGAATACTCTATCACTAAGCTAAGAATATGGGTGCATTCTTAGCTAGGTTACACCCACCGTTGGCCGAATTCAACGTGCGAGTAGCATGTTTTTGACTCAGAAATTCAACAACACGCCAGCGCAGCTACCCTAACATAGTTACTTTTAAGGAAACACTCGTTAAACCACGTTATTTCTGTAACGGGGTAAGTTTGATGTGGATGGCGAACAACGTGTATTAGGGGTGGTAGAACAAGGAATAAGAGAGAAGAGACTTTTTTCCAAACGAATTACGGATGTATCATTCTAACTGGTGAAACTAAAGAGGATGTATTATGCGGACGGTGAAGTGAACACGTAAATTACACAGCCCTATAGTGTCTCAAATCCCCGCGTAAGCATTTATTGTATCTCCCTGTTACTTCCTCTGGACGTCCGTCTAAGTTGATGTTCACCAGTGGGGCAGTGTCTCGGCTAACATTCTTGGTGTCTTTCTTCGGCAAACTTATCAATCTCACTTCACGTCTAAAAATTTACTCATCATGATTTGTGTTTGATTCTAGTAGTGAAGCCTTCCCGAGTCATTCTTCAATCCTCGGCTTGCGGCAGTGAAGCATCAGTGTTGAACACTGATGTCATGCTGTCGGTGACGATGATGCCTCGGCTTACAGCGCTTTCTTTGCATTCTTTCCTCACACAGAATAAGACTAGTAATGATGCGTTCAACAAGATGGTCATCCAGCAGTTAGATGCACGTCATCCACCAGACAGACACCTAACGTTTTCGGCGTCGCCGGAGCTCATCACCGCTCCTTTGTGTACCGACCCTATGGCGTTATCAGAAACGGAACCAGATGCGGGTTCAGAGGTAGGTTTCTCAAATTTCCGGATTCTTATTTGAAGCAAGCCATAGTACATAATAACTATATGAAATAACATCATAGTGGTTCAACGAGTTCAACGCACCAACCACCTACTTATGCAGCATTCAGTCTACCATTCAAGCGTCGTTCTCTTGTCTTTATTACACTTTTCAGCGTGAGAACTTTTAAGCAGACGAAGCAGTATACTACCGTTTCACGTATTCTCGATACTTTACCAGCAAACGTTGGCCGCATTGCTGAAACTTCAATTCATTGTTACGATGTAACTCCAATCGGTCACAAACTGTAAGAGTCTCCGTTTTTTACTGTAGTGAATTGCACCAATTCGTTGACTGAGGCCTTCTCACTCGACTGGGTCCCCGACTATGTACAGTCGGGCGCTGTTGTACAACGCTAGAAGAACTTGCTATGGTCGGAATTCTAAGTGCTCTTTGTTTATCATGACTGCCTGTGAACTAACGAGTTTCGCGGAACACCTTGAATGGAGAATTAACCACCCTTTCCCCCATCAACAGTAATTAGCCACCCACTTGAAATGACTTCGAGCTGTTTTGTCGAGCTACTTCAATCTTCTGTGGCAATCAACTCTGTCGTTCTACCTAGACACGCCGGAGTTCAAAAGGTAACAGTTGGGGCTTCGAACCGGTAGGCTGACAGTGGCTTGCTGAACTGTTCAGTTTAATGGACCTACCATGGAAGGCGTTTTTTTCGTGTGACCGCAACTCCAGTTATCAGACCGTTTCGAGGCGATGAAGTAGATTCATAGGAAACTGACGAGGGAATCAGTCTGCTGTGTATTACGGGCAAACTTCAAACCATTCCGACTCATTTCTCACAATGCAATCATTTTCTAAAGTGAGTTAAGAATAATGATGGTTTGTGGAACTGATCCAAACCTGAGTGAACCAAGTGGAACACGGTCATCTTGTTGAGTTACATAAGGCACTGGTGCGTGCACTCGGCTTTACCGTGTCTTTCGCTTTGTGGGGTTGCGCTTCCAATCTCGAATGATCCCACTGCGTTTGAGTATTCATTAACTGTTTGCGTTATTCAATAAGTTACAGTGGAAATTTCTGCGATCCACATACCGGCCCAACCTCTGGATCAAACTAGTGAATAAATTTCCGTTTGCTGTATGGACAATTTACCCAGTTTATTTGCAATTGCAGAGGAGAGTGGGGCGTTCTGCTTAGAAAGGTACGACATTGAGGTGGAGTGTTACTTGATTCCACAAGTATTATAACTAATAACCGGTCTTGAAATGCTGCGAGTATCTTTGTACGTTCGCCATACTGCTGGGTTTGTTGGGATTATGTGTATGCTACACGCCGCAAGTCACAGTGGTATCCATAAGATTTCTTACGATTAGCTTTATGGCCACGTTTGTAGCGGGCCTACAGGGAATTATGCAAATGTGAGGATATGCACGTAGTGGCGATGGAGGTGACATGTGTGGAAAGTTACTAGTTAGCTTCTCAGCTTTGTCCGGCCTTGTTTATTGCCGGGTAGTCTAGACTTAGGCGTTAAATTGAATACCAAGCCTGTCCTGTCACTCATCTACTTAGACTAATAACAACAAGTTTGTAAGTTGTCAACACGGGCAGCAGCCTATCTCAATGCGTTCAACCGTTAATCGCACCCAAGCCGTCCAACTGCAAGCGCACGATGTAATCCACCGGACTATGGGAGTGGAACAGTACGTGAATCTATTTAGCTCAAAACCCAAATTATCTAGCTTCAGATCATAACTGTCTGCGGTTTTTCTGTTTCTGACCAACGGGGTTTCACTGTAGCCCGATGAGCTGCGTTTCTGCATCCGGCGTACTATATCAGTAAGCGCTGGTCATTGCGTAAGGACTCCAATTGAAGAACGCGTGCAATCGGTCCTCGTGATGATTTGCTGTAGAGTTGCACGTTGTAACATGCATAGCATATCTACACGTTCACCCACTCATTTCAATGGTGACAACTTTTTTACTGTAAGCAGCGAGGCTTGGTTAGCATGCAACGCCCAATCGATAAAAGGGTCTTCTACGTTTCATGGTTGGATGAATCCCCGTAGTGATATTGTTTCTGTCTGTTCATAGCCTACTACGTTTTCCTTTGCACATGTCATTTTGCGGATTCCAGTCAGCTATAAACCAGGTTAGTGATTGTTCCTATGCCTCAACTAATTTTTCCTCTCAGGTAGATTTAATCTCCAATGTGGCCGATTGGTGCTTACCCAGCTTTTTTAACTTCTGCAAAGTGACGTAGGAGGCAACCATGATCGGGACTTTCCTTCCGGTGTATTCCGATTCAAACACCGTTTTGTGTTCGTAGCTTCTCTATTCACCAGGTACAATTATGAAGTGGTAGGCTGCACGTATCATCCATACCCCGGAATTGGTTTGTCAGTCGAAAATGCCATCATAAGATTTCGTGCATGAACGGGATCGGTAGCTAGGAGCACTTATCTGAAACTGTTTTTCGCGCACTTACATTTGACTTCACTTGGTCGAGGTAAGATGTATTCTCAAACATTCCCGGTAAGGTACATACACAAAAAGTTTGTCAGTAATATAGAGAACTATGCAAAAATACCCTTAGACGCATTGAGAAGTTTTCGAAGCCTAGTCATTCTATCTGCTGAGACCACGTTTCGTTCAGCTGTAGCACCCTTTCGGTGCCTATCTGCCATTTAACCAGAAGGAAGCACGAGGGCAGGTTGCCCAAGCCAAGACAGGGGAAGTCGAGAGGCAGAGGTCGGGTTCGAACCACGGACCTTCCGGTCAGTAAATTCGCGCTCGAACCACTGAGCCATTTCTCCACTTTTGGGGAATGCAGAAGGTGTTTATCTCGGATTAGTCTTTGTAGGACGCAAAGAGCTCCTCCAATGTGCTGTTTACTTTATTTCATGTGTTGTATCCCATGTGTATCCTATGCTGATATCATTTACCTAGTTTACCGCATACTTCTCATTTCGGTGCATCAATCGTGTGATGATATTAGGCGCATGTAACCTCTTTACAAGGTGCGCTTTTTCAAGAGGTGTTGCACCAAAATATGTTGGTTACGAATTCCAAATATACCAGTTCTATATCAGTTCTATTCTTACCCCGGCCGGTTTGATCAAAAGTGTTCCGTCTGGAGAAAGCAGTTCAATACTGGAAAAAGTTTGAATCGATTAAAGAAGTCATCACAGTTCAGAAGGATCTGGTAAAAAAACTACCAATTGTTTACCAAGCTCTTCTGAAACAGTTCACTGCTGGTTTCGTCCCGATTTCGACTCATCCAGTCTATGTGGCAGGGTTGCTTTCTTGATTTTCTTATTCATGGTTCACACCAAATCCCAGTACCAGGTGGTCACTGACCTCACCTATGCATATTGCTTATGTGAAGTGGTTCTTGTTACTAAATTTGCCGAGAGTGTTTCCTCGCACGATTTGTCCCCAACATTTTCACGATCTCGCACCAGCATCACTTGCGTTCCACAGTCCTCCTTCTGTTCCGGTGCAGTTATTCTGATAAGTACACACCAAAGACAGAAAGCATTGGATGCGATTTCGCTTCTCATCGGGGCTCATCAGCACGGCTGCTATGCAACTCAGGCGGGACGCACCTGAACTATCTCGTTTGATCAAGCAAACTTGTCCACGCTTGAGCGACTTTCAGGATACTCATGGTGGATCAACTAAGTACCGTGCTGTGGATTTACAACTTTTACAAGAAGAGTAATCTACGGCTCTACTGGTTTTGGTCGGAACTCATGAGACGTATGCAGTACAATTCGACCGCCTGAAATTCTTGTTCAGAATTCATACTCCTAACCCAAAGTCAAGCGTTTCTGGAACTCATTTGTGCGTGGTTCAAAATGCATTCAGATCCTTCAAACCATGAGCAACATGCCAGTGAATAAAAAATCTCATCATCAGAGCTGTATTTATAGTAGTTCCCGTTTGTTTTTTTTCTGATGTGATCTTTTGTTCTGTAAAATTTGAATTCGAGTCTGGTTGGTTAGGCGTTTCAAATTCCATCCTGAAAATACGGCCCTTTGTGATGTAGAGAACGAGGATTCAGTCGTACAACGGAAGAATTACATACTTATAGCTTAGTTGTGCATTTCAAGTCATTGCTTGTCGATAAGAATGCTTTACTCTCAGAGTGGCGCAGGTCGAGTGTTGGTCAAACTTTGAGCTGGTAGAGGGAAATCATATTAACCGAAAGCGGTTGTACATATCAGTTGAGGGTACCATTTGGACGCTGGAATGGACTCCTTTTCTATGATACTGTGAATTGTGTTGATCAATATATACTAGTATGAGCAGCTTCAGACCGCTTTCACCCTTGAATTGCATTTGAAAAAGCAACATCTGTAATCGTTTCCTGAATATTTTGCGAAACATGTCTTACGCTTCTGGTGAGCAAGGCCTACTTTTCCCTATACTTGTTGCTCACTCGTTAGAGGTGTTCAGTTGGACATTTCCTACGTACGCAAACTTAAGGGCACGCGCTCTCAACTCTCAAGCAGTGGCTCCTGGTGCTCGGGCAGAATTTTTTCATCTCTGTGAACCGCAAAAACGGATCTGAAAGTTTCAAGATATCAGTTGAGGTTGCTGTATCAATCTCATTTATAAACCCAGTATCCACATTATTCATAGAATGTCACTCAAATTTCGGTCTTGAATCCTTTTGAGCTCTTGTACTCCAGGTGCTCACAAGCGCGCGCTTCTCTAATTGTTCGACTCCACAGCTCATTGTTGAAGAATACGAGGAATCTCTAACCCATTTTGCTGACATGATCCTGGAGACCCTGAAAAATTCTGGCCAAGCTTCTGAACCGTCGAAGTCACAGGATTCTGGTTCAGATCTCTCAGTGTCGCAACAGTTGAGGCCTAGTATTCCAAGTGTGTCTCCTCCCAATATGGCTGTTCCTTGGTTGTTGAATATGCTCTCTGCCCGTTCAAGGGCTGACATAACTCCCCCGGCAACAATCACTGGATTACATCGAATTCAACCGGGCCAACATGTGGAATGTCTGAATTCTACGGGTATTTACAATGAACCGTGTGATGCCAAACCAGTTAGAGCTGACGGGTCAAGTGATCCGACTGTAATCTACACCTTCTCTAGCCTTCAAAATCAGCTGATCGATGCAGTAAAAGATCCATACATTGAGGATTTTCGAAACTCCTCGGAAAGCAGGTCAGTTTTTCCCCGCCTCGCATTTCTCCTGTTCCCCAATATAACTCGTCCAGCACTTGTTCTATTTGGTCTCATCCCATAAGACGGCTTTATCAGTGTATGTTTTCTAATGAAGTATACGCACTCAAGTTTACCATCTAAGGCTTTCACTGGTGGCTACTTCAAAACAGTGTCGCCACGGGAATAAATTAACTCAACTCACAGGTGAGATTACCTCCTTTCAAGCTGTAAGAGCATGTTGTGCAGATCATCCCAAACCGTGGTACTTGAAATTTTCGAGTGACCACTTGAGGGTGAAAGGAGGAAGGAGGATATTTTCCGCTTCAACTCTTTTACTATAAACTACGCAAATTCCCGAAAGCTTTTCTTCGCTTAGAGATCGATACTAGTAAGCTCATGGACCATCTACAGACTCCGGTTGATATCGATCATTGCGTTGGAGAATCCCAGAGCAACCTAAAACTTAGGTGTCCGATTTCAGCAACCCAGTTCAGTTGCGTTGGACTTTCCCAATTTATTATCAGTGGCTGCTCAACTGGAGTTTGAAAATATGTGAATGGCCCGCCTGCAAATCGGGTTTATTGATCACCGCTACAGACCTGCGCTTTTTCAGAAATCTGCAGATGGTTTCCCGGAGCCTGGTATAGTGTTTCATGCTAACTTGAGGTGGTGTTATAGAAACTGGACAACAAGACTGTCGTGATCCGTCGCGAGTCGTCACTCTACCAGGACCTAGTGGCAGTGAAGCGTCAGTGTCAACACTTATGTTGTTGTCTTTGATGATGTTGATGGCCTAATCGTAAGCATCGTGATGCCTTCACCATACTTTAGTTCTCGTAGGCTTGAGCATAATACTGTTCGGTTAAAGTACCAATCAAGACTATATATATATATATATATCTATATATATATATCCCTGTAAGAAT